AGGAGGAGCATTTTGGCCTTTTGACATGTAACTTTCCTAATCATCTGATTGGACGTAACTTTTCTAGCCACTTGATTGGACAATCTATGCTGATCCATCTTGATCATAGGTTATTTTTAAAAGATTTGAGTACTTAAATGGCTTAGGAATTGAGCGATTTTAGGCTGGTCATATTCCTCTCTTCAAGACTCTCGATTCAACAATAAATATGTCAAATTATTGAGAGTTCATTTGATGATTCAAAGCCTCCCATTATACTTCAACGGCTTGTTTTCGACTCAATTAGACAAAATTTAGAGTCGTTGGGTAGGTCTTGCCAAGTCGCTCAATTTGATTATAAGTTTATTGAAATCAAAGTCTGGATAATCATTAATTTGTATTTGGAAGATCTCTTACCAAAATTGAATCGAAATTTATGCTTGATCATATAGTTTTTGATGATATAACAACTAATATAACTTGATTATGAACAATTATAACATCCATAAGGTCATCAATTTTTCAAATTTATAACATCCATAAGGTCATCAATCAAAACATCAAATTTAAAATGTTAGATTTCTAAATATAAAATAATTGTGCACTCTTTATAAAAAAAAAAAATTCATATACTTCTTATTACTTTATATTGATGAAATATAATTTCTCTTTTTATGTAGCACTAATCTAAGATTCTTATTTTTTTATCATATTCATACAAAAATATTAACTTTTTAATTTTTTAAAAATAAAATATTTATCAAATAGACTTAAATTTTAATCCACATTATTCTCCTCTATTTACTGAGCAAGTGAGTATTTTTTTTATTTTGTGATTTTTTTACACAAAGTTATGTATTTTTGTGTGGAGTCACTGCTGACTCAACTAAGAAAAAATAAAATAATTTATTTAAAAAATACTTAAAAATATTTTTTTTCTAATATAATTTTATCTTTTTATTTAGAAGGCCGGCAGCAGCAGACGGAGACATCACCAGCTTCTCTCTCCACCTTAATATTAAATTATTCCTGATATAATTTTATAATTTTAGAAGTCTATATTCGAAAATAAAATAATATTTACATGAAAAGACCAAAATGCCCCTGTTTTTAGTTCCCCGGCCGGCCGCCTTACCTCCGCAGGAGCGCAGGCAATTTGTCTTTTCCTTCTTTGTTTGTGGACATATGTCGCCCTAATTTTGTTAGCTGGATTAAAATAACTAATTATTTTAAAACAAGTATAATATGAAAATTAATTTAATAATTAATTAAATTGTATTTATTAATTAGTTGGAAGAATTTATTTGAAGAATCTCACATGAAATTTTATTTTTATTTCTAAATTTTATAACTTTTACATATTTTGATTTGTTTATAGATAAATTGTAAGAGCATTTACTTATTTATTTGTTTATTTTATATCTAAATTTTATATTTACATGCATGTCAATTTAATTTTTTATTTATTATTACTATTAATTTTTAAATTGTGAGCAATATATTGCAATGCATAAATTTATGTTATCAAAATATTATAAGTTTAAATATTAAATTTCAAATGTTAAATATATATATGTCACCAAAAAAAAAATTATAATTTGGCATGAATTTTGAAGCAATTAGCACAAATTTTGGAACAATTTTGATAAGAAATATTCAAACTCAAATTAAAAATCATCAAGAACTTTGATTTTAGTAATCATAGTCAAATTGACGGGCTCGACGAGAAAAACCCAATGACGCCAAAATTAGTTCAATCCGAGTTAGATCAAGCCCGGATTAAGCGATTAAACTACTTTTGGTAGTGTCGGGTGACTAATTAGAAGGTCAAATGATTTCAAATCTAACAAGTTTATAGTCAAATCAAGCATCCCAATGACACGATTCTCGAGTCAAAGATTACTCAGTTTTGACATAATGAATGAACTTAAATATCCACAAAATGTCTCTGGTTTGTTCTATGAAGTGGTATAGATTTCTTTTTTATTAGCAAGGGAGACACTCGTAAACTTTATAAATAGAGTCCTACCCCTTGCGTAAAAGATGACTTAGAGCTTGAAAGAGGAGAGCTGAACCTAAAGTTGATTCGTGAAGGAGTTGAATTCCAGTGTACTTCCATACGAAAGACTGAAGCACCATACGATGTAAAGATTAACATCATAGAGTAACGAAACACTTAATGAAGTTAAGATCAGTGACTTGACACCCTGCAGAGCAGTGCATCAACACCGTACAACAATGCACCTCAAAGAAGATGTAGAGAAGCCTTGCCAACTACTCCTACATACAACCGCTCCTGACTGCTATACAACAAATTCTTCTACATACAATCATTGTACTTCGAGGAATTATGTAACATTTTCTCTTTTGTGAGATAAGGGTTTGTGTGCGTTATTATAAACTTATTTTGAATCATTCTGACAAAAGTGGTCTTGCGATCGACGATGATGATGGTAGCTGGGCAGCGATGGTATGGCTGTGTTGGCCGATGGTGGTGAAGCTTGGGAATCCTTGAATGTTTAGAGCTCATTTAGCCTCCTCCTCCATGTTCAGCCCCTCATTCATGTAGAGGGTGGATGTCTATTTATTGATTTATTGATTTGTATTTTCGAGACACTTAATTTGACTATGAACTTACTAAATTTGGAGATTATTTTGTCCCTCAAAGTTTATCCAAAAGTTATCTTTATGCTTTAAGTGTATGATCTCGACTCACTTTGACCCAGACCAGACCATTTTGTATGTTGTTTTGTTAAATTGGAGTGCAGACAATTCCAAATTTTATTTTTTAAGCTTTTGATCCACATATCCTTCAAAATTCATGCCCATCACCATGCTTTTTTAGGGAAAGTGTCAAATACATATTATGAAAATTTACCTACATGCCACTCAAATCTCAAGTATTTTCACATCTAACCCCCAAACATCAATTTTTACCCATATGTCATCCCACATATGCAAGACAACATATATTTTGCATTTTAAAAGTCAAATTATTAATATTTTTGATACAATATGAAAGCTTGGGTGGTATAAATGTAAATAAGGAAAAATTTAGGGGTCATATAAGAAAATAACGATCTAAAATTAGTAAAAAAACGTTTTTTTTTCTTTTTTATGAAGATCATTTATGTGAAAACTATGTAACCAAACCATTTTAAAAAATTAACTTTCCGAAACAGCAAACATGTAATAAATTTTAACAAAGGTGTGTTTGGGGCAGTTTGTGTGTTTCTGAAACTCAGCTCTCGGGCGGGCCGTAGGGTTCAGCCCGCGGCCTACTTTTAGTGTAAAAACTCAAACACAATTTCAGATAAACTAGCAAAACACGCGAACCAAATAGTACGGTGGCGTTTTCACATTTATAAATTGTCCCAAATAAGGGTGAAGTGATCCAATAAATTAATATAATTTGCAAAATGAGAAGAAAAATAAATTTAACCCAAAAGCCAAATTTTACATATTTTAAAAATTACAAAAAAAAAAAATCATAAATTACCATCATAATTACTAATCCTAAGAAATTTCCTCCCCCCTTCCCTGCAAATAAATAAATAAATAAATAAATAAATAAATAAAATAAAATATTTACTTTTTTGAGCTAATGAGTGCGACTTATTTCCATTATAAAAACAAAAATTACAAAAATGTTTTTTTTTTAAATTTTTTCCACAAATCCAAATTGTTTTGTTTGACTTCGAATATCAGAAATCGCGTTGAAATCGCCGAAATGCCTTGATTTGGTCCCATCTCCCATCTACTTACAACCTTCTAAATATTAATTAATTAATATATAAATATTTATTTTTATGGGGGGTTATATGTCAACCACTAAAAATATTTAATATTACATTTATAACCCCCACTAACTTCAAATATAACTTTTTAGCCCCCACATAATTCTTAAATACAACAATTTCAACATTCAAAATTTTCGCTTGAAACCTTCATGAATTGATTTATTGAAAATAAAAAATAGATGTCAAAATATAAATATATAAAAATTAAAAAGTCTCATATATTTACATAATGAAAACCTAAATTTTCATATTTACATTCATAATATCTAAATCTTCAATACTAAAATACAATACATTTTCATATAAATATATTAAAATTATGTGGCATGTTTGTAAATACAGACCACCCGAATTTCGCTATTTATAAATCAACCACACTCTTCAATCTATTTTTCAAATCCTCACAAAAACCCAACCTATATTTTTCATTTTATCAAATTCACAATAGTGTAATAGTGGAAAAAATATTATATCATGAGTCATGATACAATTCTGCATCAGTACTCTAATGAAATTATGTCATGTCACATAACAAGCCCACTAAATAAAACAAAATTATATAGTTTGATGTATGACCTGCCTCCTCAAACACATGACATACTTTCATTGGAATTCTGATGTAATATTTTTTCGTGGCACCAATAAATACATTGGAAGGTGAATTTATAAATATCAATTTTCGGGTGGTCCCTGTGTAATCATCCCAAAATTTTTTTTTGACGATGTTACTTTAAATTTATAAACATCAATTTTCATTTTATTAAATTCTCAACGTTGTCATAGTGGAAAAAATACTATATCAAGACTCCTATAAAATTGGGACACGTCACTAAATAAAACAATTCTATACTTTAATATATAGTCTGTTTCCTCCAGACACATGTCGCAATTTTATTGGAGTCCTGATGCAATTTTGCATTAGTATTAATATTTTTTGGTTACACCAGAAAATACATTGAATGGTAAATTTATAAATATCAATTTTTGGGGTGGTCCCTATGTAATTATCCAATTTTTTTTTTTTGAATTTAATGCCTTCTCTTTAGGCATTTCTTCTTCATCCCCCCTCACACAATCAAAGGCGGTTTCTGCTCCTTCCAACCAAATAAATATTCACATATTCCGCTTTTAATTTTAACTTTATTATTTATTTTTTCCTTTTTTTTATTTTTTTATTTTATTCTTATTCATTTTCGCCGTCGGCCTATAAATACTCCCCTGAGCTCTTTCTCTCTCCTCTCAGAGCCCTCTTTGAAGCTCTCAATCTCTCTAACCCCTTTCACTCACGCCGGCTCTCCTCTCTCAGAATCAAAGGGTAAGTCTCTGCTCCAGCTCTAGATCTGCAATTTCTGCTAGCGATTTGAGTTCTAATGTTTAGATCTGCTCTGCTGTAGTTATAGATCTTGAAGTGAAGAAGTTTTCTGAATTATTTTTCAATTTTTACAGTCAGTCTAAGCTATGGCAAACGGATGTTCGATCCAGCAGAGCGTCTTCAACTTTGCCGGCGGCGATCGGTCGGTGATCTGTCCGAAACCTCGGAGGATTTTTTCGCCGGCGATCGCTTTGGAGCCGAAGTCCGCCAACCATATCCTCGATGCCCTTTTTTCAAAGGTTCGTTGCTTTCCTACCTTCTAATGTGTTTTTAGCCGTCAGATCTAGAACGAATGGTTCTGATTAGTCTGTTTTCTGCACTCAGCCATCTGATCCAGCTCCGCTCTTCTTCTCCGGCTCGCCGCTGGCGCGATCCGATAACCCGATGGTCCATGACGCCCGATTCGGCGAAAGTACTCCGATCCCGATTGCTACGGAGGGGTCCGGATGCGGATCCGAATCCGGATCCGTTAGAAGTGTTGATGCACGAATCCGATATGGCCTCACGCCGGCCGCCGTCCGCATCGAGGGCTTCGATTGTTTGGACCACGAGCGTAGCTGCCGGAGCCGCGGGATTCCGGCGTTCGCATAGATGCATCCGCATAATTTAAGCAGAGATCCTATGCGGTCGTTGAAAGAAAGATTAGTGGAGGCCATTGAAATTATTATGAAATTAGGAGATTTTTTTTTAAAAAAAATATTATTAATGGAGGGAATTTTGTATTTGTAAATAGTTTAGGGGGCGATAAGTAATTATTGGCATTGTTATAATTTAGGGTTTATGGTCTTCATAGTTGAAGTTGTACAAAGAAATGTTGTTGAACCTACTTAAAATTAGGAATTGTTGGGGTGTTTTATTTAAATTATTGAAGCTATTAATTTAGTAATGCAATTTTATGTGTTGATTTGATTTGAAAAAAAAAAAAAAGGTTATATGTGTGTTATATGTGTCATGGTTTTCTTTATTGTGTTGGTATAAATGTAATAAGAGATGGCGTTTTGTATGTGAATTTGAAAATTTAATGGAGTGGGTTTGTAAATTTGAAATCATTCAACCGTTTCCTTACTAATTTGATGGTTTAGTAGGGTGAATTAATGAATATGTTTGTTTTTATTTATTTATTTTTAAATATTTGAGTGATAAATTATAAAATATTGTTGTGGGTCATTCTCTTATTTAGAGTGCATTTGGTTTGACTGTGGCTGTATGAAATCTCTGTTTAAAAGTTATCGTGGTAAATACGTGGTTTAAAAACTGATCTTCTATTTGAAAAATTCAGTTTTGAAAGTGTTATGCAATCAGCAATGTAGTGGGTGCTCTCACATGGTGCGAGGGCATTGCAGTTAGCGGCGCTGGTGCAACCATATAGCTCGAGGGCACTGGTAGAAAGCATTGCGGGGTGTTGGTGTTGCAGTGAGTGTCGTGGGGGCCCCTAATGAGCGCCCCCACGACTATATGGTTGCGACAATCAAGAAGGTGTGCCATGATAGTGTAGTGAAATGAGGAATAAGAGGCTCGTAGAAGGATATTAGTTGGTGAAAACTAGATATATAAGGGATTGTGTGGGGATGGGGCTATTGTTAGATAGCCACAGCCTTCAATGGATCTATGACAAGCCCACACACACCCACACACATTTGTGTGGGATAACACAATTGATTTTGTAAGTTATTGTCAAAATCTCTCAAAAATGTTGAAAATGAAGAGCATGATTAAGACAATATCTCACTCCTTCGAATTCTTAATTTATATAAGTGCGTGCTATCCTTTAATTGTGATTGAGTTTCTATAATAGCACATTAATCTTTAGGTTTTTTGCATGTAATTTACATCTTGAGTGGCTATTAGATTGTTAAAATGAATTATGATATGGTAATATGAGGGCAGGTTAGTGAAATGATTAGGTTAACATAAGTTCTTTGTAGGATCGATATACTGACTCAAATCTATATAATACATGATCGACACGTTTACTTGCATGATTGTGGTTGTTTCATAGCATGTCGACATCATGTTTTTGGCGCTATTATAAGGGAACGATGTTAAATTGTCTTTTTTAGGAAAATTTTTAGTTTAATCATTAGAGTTTAGACTTGAAACTTGTTGTGTTATATTTTTATCATTTTTAATTTATTATTTTAAGGGCTAGAAAATAAAAAAAAATTCATGTCACATATTTTTTATTTCTATTATGTACATATATTCATGTTAGATCTTAATTATGTAAATTTGTGTGAATTTATGCTTTTGTTAGATTTAGGGTCACACACAACATGTTTTAGGTTTATATGAGTAGGACCCAAAACCACAGATATAGTATCTTCTAACATAGAAATCGAAAAATCAATTTTTTTTTTAAATCACAAAACTAAAAAAAAAAAACCACTTAGCTATGTCAAATCTTTAAGAAGAATATCTTAGACCCCTCAGGGAGTATGTCAACTCATAATTAGAGGAAATTCATATGAATATTAATAATACTATTGTACAAGCCAACACCTTTGTGGTCAAATTTGTCATCTTCCAAATGATTCAGAACAATCAATTTATGGGATCACCCACAAAGGACCCTAACCTGCACTTAGCCAACTTTTTAGAACTGTGTCACTTTCAGGTATAATGGTGTCTTTAATGAAAACATTCGACGAAGGCTATTCCTTTCCTCACTTTGAGATAATGCTAAGATGTCGTTAAACTCTTTAGCACCAAAGTCGAATACCAAACGAAAGCTTAAAAATTCATGGACAAATATTTCGCTTCATTTAAGATTACCAAACTTTGAATTAATATCACATCGTTTATCCATTTACATGAGAGTCTATTTATGAATATTGGGAGAGAATCAAAGACCTGCTTAGGAAGTGCCCACACTATGCCCTAACTGATTGACTTATCATTCAAATCATTTATAATACGTTGGTAAGATCGTTAAGGTCAATCATAGATGTTGTTGCTGGTATATCTAAACCATTTGAGAAGTCCTATTCATTAATTGAAGGAATTTCTATGAATAATTTTCAACGACTCCCCGAGTGTTAACTCTTTCAAGGTAGCAAGTGTTTATGACACGAAAGTGTTAGCAATCCTAACTTTACAAGTAGTTGTCATATATAGAACCTTCATTGATGGTTGATGCCTCTCCCACATTAAGTTGACCACCATCCCCTATGTATTGATTCTCTCAATCAGGTATGTAGGTAGGACTCTCCATTATGATTGACGGGTCATGTATCTAATTAGATATGAGAGAATGAACCAAGAAAAAAAAATGAAAAGAACATGAAACCCTTCTACATTGCACTACCCTCGCCTTTCTCAATCAAGTAAAGAGAAAGGCGAGGGCAATGTAATGTAGAAGGGTTTCCAACAACAAGATCAATAACAATAGAAGAAAATGCATATTGAAAGCTAATGGATCCTTGCAGTGCTTCTATGAAGTCTATAAATGTAATTAATAATAGACTTAGTAACCCATATTCCAATACTTACAATCTCAGCTGAAGTAGCCACCCTAATTTTAACATGAATAATAAAATCTAAGGTGTAAGAAACCAGCTGTGGGGTAGCAACCAACCCAAACATATAGAAAATCGGAACAAGCAAGGCAATTATAACCCAAGACCGACCTATCAACCTGAATTCACTTCTAATCCCCAATTTTGGGACAAGAAATTATCCTTAGAAGAATTGGTTGTGAATATAGGGAATGAAATACACAATCACGCTACATCCATAAATAACACTTTTAGAGATCATAAGGAACATTACCAAGTAACATAAAAGTGAATCAAAATGACCAAAATGTGAACTAGTGCAATGTCGTTAGACGAAGAAGTAGAAAGGAGTTAGAGGATGTAGTTAGAGAAGAGAATATCATAGAAGAAGAGTATGAACCCGAGAGTTCTATTAAAAATCTTTAATAGACTTAGCAAAAAAAACTTCACCTTATAGGAAAGAATAAGAGAGACTGCCGCCTATTCCTTAAATATTAACATGATAAAAATTGGACCAAAAATTCTCTATAATTTTTAAATTATTGAAGAAGCTCGCTATTAATATTTCATTTGGTAAAACATTTAAACAAACTTTTAGTTACATGAGACTCATTAAAAAAATATTGAGATAAGAATTATAGATTTTCAAACTTTGAGACTATGACCCTAGTAGAGGTGTGTAATGCTATATTTTAAAGGGGTGCTTGAGATTTACAAGTGATAATCAATGAATGTCTTAAATTTCAAATATGAAGAAGTCATTATTTTAACCATATTAAATTTTCTCAATATTTATATAACTGTTGTGCATTTTTATTTACAAGCTTTAAACTTGGGATTATTTTGCAAAATATCTTAGATGATTCTTATGTGGCCCATCATCCCCTCCCATTCCCCTTTAATTTTAATTTCCTTCTCATTATTCCTTTGAACTATCATCATCTTTCCTCAAGCATGTAACTTCTTAGATTGCCCTTCTCTTTTCTCATTAACAAGTAAAAGTATTCCAAAACTCTATTCTCTTAATTTTTGTTGACTTTCCTTTCATTATCTCCTACTATTTTGGATGTAGACCTCACTTTCATAAAAAGCCAAACATTCAAGTTCTCTACAACCAAGCTACAAATCTGCTAGTGACACTATATCGTTATTACTTAGCTTAAATATTTACAAATATCATTTAAAATATACTTTTTAACTACTTAATATACTATTACTTTTCGAGGAGAGGACACTGATCTAGGATAAGTTATTTTAAAATTCCTATAAAAATAAAAGGAATAATTAACTAGTCGTGGTTTATGCTATATAATTTATTATTTTTTTATTTCTTGAAATATACATAATATTAATTTACATACAACAATTTCATAACATTATAAGAATATTGCTATATTATCCTTTCTTCAGAAGCATTGGACTCATCTAGCAACTTAATGAACAATGATGTAGAGGTATGGCATAAGGTTGTTTGAGAGTTAGAGAAAGCTTAAATTTATAGGTTTAGTTTTAGAGTTTGAGAGTTAGAGAAAGCTTAAATTTATAGGTTTAGTTTTAGAAAAAAGCATGATAGATTTAGGTATTGCATTTGATGATACAACTTTTCAAGGGTTTGTCCAAAATTTGCCACAAATTCATTACTAACTTATAATGAATTATTTCTCACAAAACAATCGAATATTCGCTTCACTCCATGATCTTCATAGCCTAATAATGTGCTTTGGTTCATTTGCATTGCACAATCATCATTATTTTCTATGTTTGCTTCGATTCTACTTCTTAGGCTATGTTATTTGTTCACAAATACTTATTGATTTTTTTAAAATATATTTATTAATATGTCCCTAATTAATTAATGCGGAAAGAGTTGGGATTCACGTGATTCTTGATATCCTTGATATTATATAAATAATTAATTTAATTTTAAATAAATTATGGATAAATAATTTTTGGAAAAATTACGTACATACCACACAATTCTTATTCATTTACATATTAAACATGCACCATTACTGCATGAAAATGTATATTTTATTTTTAATAAATTAGTAATAATGATATTTTTGTGGTATTATGAAAAAATATATGGTAGATATTGCAAATATAATTAAAAAAATTTGATCTTCTTAGATATAATTTTTATTGCTATTATTAATTAATGATTTTAATTTATATAAATTTTATTTGTATTGACATAGCAAATATATTGAAATAAATAATATGCTATAAGTTTCATGACAACATATCAAATACTAAATCATGCATATGTGGTTAGGAGGATGGTTATAAATTCCCCAATAAATACAATTATTTTTTTAGATGAATAAAATTATTAAAATATTTATATCAAAACTCATAATAAAATATTCAAAATATCAAGAGACATTTTTCCCTTTGAGATAATTCATCACATTGCTTATTATACTTGACCTTAATTAATATAATGGGAGCTAGCTTAGGTTTTAAGGTATTAACTATACTATAAAATATTTAATAATGGGATATTCAAATATTAAAGATTTATTAATGCAAAGAGGTTTGGTAGTTTTATGATTGATGAATTATGATAATAAGATTAAAATAAATAAAGTTTATCATGTTTTGTGCTCTTTTAGGGTATGTTTGGGCCAGCTGTAGAGAGAAAACATATAGAAAGCTGTCACTGCACCTAGTCAGAACCAGTGGGAAAACGCAGATTTCAACTACAATTTTTTGAAAAAACTGTCAAAAGACAATTTACCCAAACAAACAAAATGTGCAACGCCTCAAATGGACCATTATTCATCACAAATGCATGCATAAACTTATATTATGATTAATTAGATTAATTCATCATTTGTATATAGCTTACTTTAAACTTGGATTTTATCCATCCTAATAAAAATCCTCATACTAATATTGTGGTGTGGAAAGCCATGGTGATGCCATATTTCATTGATCCAGAGTTTAGTATGTGCACGTCAGGTGTTTGATGAAATGCCGGTGACGAAAAACCGTTTCAACGAATCTTATGCTTGTGGAGGCCTAGAAAATATTTTTACTCATGCCGGAGTATATATTCCCTTATTTATTTTTCAATTATAGTTTGTAAAAAAATAATTTTATAATAATATAAAATTTGAGGGACATTTACATGCATACAACCCGATTCCTATGTATTTACGTATCTAACATTTAAATATTATCTCTTCAAGTAAATATGTGATGAAGGTTTAAATGTGTATATATGTAAAAACATAGAAAATAAGTGATATGTTTGTAAATATTCCAAAAGGTGGTGTGAGTTGATGAGAAGGAAGTGAGGTGATTTTATATATTTATTTATTTTCTTTCTGTTTAAGCAAGATGAGTGTTTGGGTGAGAATGTGAAGAGTTGTGAAAATTTTGACATTTACAAATTCATTGTTAATTAATTCATAATCTAATTAGCAACTCTTATTAACCTAATCTTCAATCAATACTCCTTAATTAGACAAAAGCTAAAAGAAGTTGTACTAATTAATAAGAACAAACGCCATCATATTACACGTAAAAAAGGAAATATTTACATGCATATCACTCAAATTTTATGTATTTATAAATATAGCACCCAAACCTATATATATATATATTGATGTGTGCCGGAAAATTTGTGGCGGTATAGTGATGGATTATTGTCTTAAGGTTGCACGAGAATTCAACACACACACAAATAAAAGAAGAGAAGTAAGCAGGAGGAGACAACTCGACTTTTTACGTGAAAAACCCTTGAAGGGGAAAAACAAGGGGGTTAGCCCAGTTAGAATAATCCACTATAAATGATGAGTACACATGTCCATTCTTCTTGAAAATTAGGGGAGAAGAAATTAAAAAATATATATAATTATAATCTAGCTGCAGTTCTTGGTGACAGCATGTTGCAAGGGTCATTGTTGATTGTTGTGGATGTAGTAGTCCGTCATTAGTGTTGTAGATGGTTGTTACAAAAGCGTTGATTGACAAAAAAAATTGTAGGAAGCAGTTACGGGAGCTTTGGATGACATATGCCATAGTGGCAAGTATGAAAGACGTTCGAAGGCCACTGGGGCTTGAGCTGGGAGCCGAACGAGCTGTGAGTCACGTAGGTTATACGGGCGATTATGAATGATATACGTAGGCCGCGAGAACCGGAGTTGGGAGCTGCATGAGCTGATGACCTCGCAAGTCGTTTGGGCGAGTATGAATGAAGTCTGTAGGCCATGTCAGCCAGATTCAATAGCTGCACGAGCTATGAACCAAGTTGGTCGTAGGGGCCAGTATGAATAACGTCCGTAGGCCGTAGGGGCCAGAGTCAGAGCTGCACGAGCTATGAATCACGTATGTCGTTGTTGATGTATGGACCGTAGTGATGAGCTCATGTCCCACGACGATGACTAGCGACGTCTGGTTGGTGGGGAAAGACGATGATTGGTTGAGATCGATGGTGACAGTCTACAGTGGATGACGACGATCAACGAGTGTCGACGAAGGCTGGTGGTGGTCGATGGTGATCGACGATGGTCGACTACGGTCAGGATGGTGTTGGACTTCAGCTCCTTCTCAAAGCTTCCAGTTCCCTCTGAAGCTTCAAGTCTCCCCCTCATGTGAGGGGTGGAGCTCTATTTATAGTATTTTGGGTGTCATTAATGCATGAATAAGAATCATTTTGATCAGATGGACCAGAAAACATCCTTCGATCAAAATACGTTTAATGGACATTTGAATGCCTTAACGATGTCATAATTGCACAATCTTAGGCTCGTTGGATATTTCTTGTCGAGACACTCAATTCGACTATAAACTTGTCATATTCAACAACCGTTTGACATTCTAAATGTGTTCGAAAATCATCTAAGAATGGTTTAATGATTTGATCCGGGCTTGATTTGACTCAGATTGGAATGATTTTGATATCATTAGTTCCGTCTCATCGAGATGATCAGTTTGACTATAAATTTATTGAAATCAGAGCTATGGATGAGTTTTTATCAATGTTTGAACATCACTTGCTCAAAATAATATCTCGAGAATTTTGTCATGCTCTGAAATTTGTGTCGGATAGTGAAAATTTGTTGGTATATATATATATATATATTGAAAGCCCAAAAAGGCTAATATATTAAATAAAAAGAAAGATACAGATACAATATGTGGGGGGGCAAGCATGATATCTGCCCACACAAAAAACCACAAATGATTCCAAAACTAGAAAAAAACAAAAAAATACATTAGATACTAAAATAAAAAGCCTAACAATGCTGAAATACATAGTATCATGTGGCTCAATAGTGACCCAATTCGGTCTTGCCTCTGCCTCTAGTTCTAGGATAGGAGCAAACTAATAAGCTGGTAAGATGATTGTCATTGCCAGTAGTAACCAATGTATCATCCAATATGATCCCCAACTGGAGTCGCCCTCCATTATATATATATATATATACTTACATATTTCAAGCCCAAACGAGCCGAACACGAACGAATAAACCTTTTTCGTATACAACTCATTGATATATTGAGCATAAAATAATTATTCGTATTTTACACATCTATTTAATGAATAAGCTGAACACAAACAATTCACGAATAGTTAATCATTTTGACAGCCGTGACAGGGTTGCAAGAAAATATTACATTGACAGATCCTTACATATGTGATGCATATAATATTCGATTACAATCCAAGGCTGAGATCAAGAGAGCAATCCTTTCCATGCTCCAAATTCTCTTGATGACTACTCATCCCATCGTCTCTAACCTCCGAGCTCCCTTTCGACGCGAAATCCTCCCACTCAAACGCCGGCTTCCACAGCAATGTTTCCGGCTTCCTCGGCCTCTCCGTCGGCGCCGCTGCCTTCCACAGCTCCCTCGTTGCTCGAATCCTCTCCATAAGCCTATAGAAGTCCTTCATCTTCTCGTCCTCTTCCTCTTCTTCCTCCCTTTCCTTTCCTTGATCTCTCTTCTCCTCTTGCGCCATTAAAGAATCCCAGCTCTCCTGCTCTCGAATCATGGAGTTTATGTATGCTTATATATGGAGACATGGACGCTTGGCTTTGTTAAATAAAGACCTGGGAGAGAATTATGGAGAGTTAGGCTTTGACCCGCAGTCGGTAGGCATGATGGCTCGAGCGTGTGTGAGGTCAGCTTTAATGATATTCTCATGCGTGACGTCATGAGAGGACGTCAGCAGATGACGTATTAACCCCTTTTTTTTTCTTAAAGCTAATGTAATATGTTTATTTGAATTTTTTTTTATGTAATATTATAGTTTAGGTTATTACACATTAGGCTCAACTTTATTTACAAAATAAATAAATAAAAAAGATATCGAAAAGTTAAAATTGCACTAATTTTTAGCATAGAAATATTAACGCTAATGTAATATGTTTATTTGAATTTTTTTTTATGTAATATTATAGTTTAGGTTATTTCACATTAGGCTCAACTTTACAAAATAAATAAAAAAAAATATATATCGAAAAGCTAAAATTGCTCTAATATTTAGCATAGAAATGTGGAAATGATTAAATTGAGATAAGGAAGCGTAAAGAGTTGATTGAGATATTTTATGATGAATGTTGCATTGACATGAACCTCTATTTATAGACGTAGGTCACAAAATTACAAAATTACATATTACTCTATCATTATTAACTTTCGTGGGAAACTTTTGACAATTACAGAATTATTTGCATATCATAAAAATCGAGAATCGATTAGATCGATTAGGGTTGTCGATCATTCGGTATGACTAGACTCGATTGGTAACGAGTTTGAAAGAGTGCCCCCAAGTCGATCGTCTTGAAGACTAATTACTGCCCTGTGAGAGCTTCTCCTGACGCCTTCTGCCGATTATTCGAACAAGGTGCTTTAGTTTCCAACATTCATCCAAAACAATCGTCAACATACTTGACCGTCTGATCATCCACATCTATTTCTTGAACCATTCATCTACTTGAGATTTGTGCTATATATATATATATATATACAATTGTAAATTTTTAGTTAGAAAGTCGATAGAGGTGATCCATAGGCAAATTCATGATAGGTAACCGATAAGAAGATTAATATATAAAAAAAAGATTAAGAGGGATAGTAGGTAAAAGTAAGACTGAGAATAATTATGCTTATTTCTTTCAAATTTTACACCAAAAATCCTAGCATGTTAAAGACCAATTTGCTTAAAATATTTAATTTGGAGAATACAAACTCAATCTGTGATAGAACCGTCAACGCATAGAGGTGATCCATAGGCAAATTCATGATAGGTAACCCACAAAACTAATATGTGAATCAGTTCGTATCAAGTCAACTAAGTTGCACACTAACCAACACCAATCAAACGTGGCCCAAGAAAGCTAAGTTTGCCAGCTTGCCTATTTGCCCCAAACACACGACGACCCATGATTTATTAAGAACAACCTAGGAGTTCCTTGGTACCAAGATCAAGATGTTCATTTGGCATGCAATACAAACTCAATCTGGCACCAATTAATCAGAAATCGATCTACTCCATATCCCTCATTTATCTGTCATGTAAGTACATGTTGACATACTACAAGGATGGCTTATAGTTCTTCTCATCTTTCATCATTCAATTTGCCTTCCTTAGGATTGTCTTGATATAGTTCTTTGTGATCCAAATCCTCTAGGCTTCAAGAGGCATCATCAGGCCACACAATCTATCCTCACTCATTATTAACCCCATGTAATCTAATCCTAGTTCAATTCAAACTACATTAAAATTTCTTAGAAGGAAACTAACTAATTTACAAATAAAAGTTAGTAGGCACATAACACACTCAAAGTCGGTGTGTGCATGTGCACATACTATTATCACCAAAGTGCCAAGTCACACGTCCTATTTGATCATGTTTAGAGGAATAAGCACGAATAAAGCACATGCAAGGAAGTTTATTAATTTTTATTCAATATTGGTGTTTGTTTTACTAAGCATGATCTCATATAGAAAATAAGTATAAAGATTACTAAAAAGTAGCCCTAACATTAAGTCTAATGAGCAAACATTCATCCTATTAATAATTCGAAGCTAGTAAACATCATTAAAAATAGAAATCATCCATAATAATCACATAAATCAGTCGCCACCTCTCTAACCTAATTCTTGGTGGAGGTATCAAAAATTGACTTGATACGCCAACTCGACTAAAAAAATTTGGGTTTGGTTAACTCAAATAATTTTTAGGATTAGTTTTAGTTACAAATCTTAACCTATTTTATTTTTGGGGCCAGATTCTAATTAACCTGCTAACCCGAAATTTACTCAAAATCAAACCGTCAATCCAAAATTGACTCAAATAGATATTATACCTTGTATTAAACTTATTATACAAGTCGGGTTTAGGTCGACAGATTGAAGGTGGGTCAAGTTTGGGTTGGACATTCTGACCAACTTAAAATTTAGGTCAGGTTCAGATCAATTTGGGTCAAAGTAAAACCTGAACTACGAATACGATTAGACAAATCTAAGCCGAATCTAGTGGGCTAGCTAACAATCTAATGTATGTGTGGCTGGTGATACACCTTCTAGACCTTAAAGTTTAAATTTTAGTTTAATTAAGAATTTAAATTTTCCAATAAGGGGGTTTTAATTTAATTAATTAATATTTAAAAGTTAGTAATATATATTTTTTCTTGATATTAATTATATTCAATTTTGATTTTTTAACTTTAGGAGGACTAGCATTTGTGGGACCCACATAAAAGGGTTCATACTATTCTTAGCCCCTGACCAAAGAAAAATATGTTGAGATTTTCATACTTATTTTACACAGTTTTTGATGATATTGCACTTTAAAGAAAAATATTTTTGATGTTTTGTTACAGGAATGATGAATTAGGGTCATTGGAGCAAAAAGATGCAAAAAGAAGCGAATTTGGAGCGAAAATGTCCAAACAAAATGTGAAGATGTGAACTAGGGCGCCGACGGCGAGCCCAACGGCACCGATGGCGGACTTTTTCCGAGACTCTAGATTTAATTCACTTAGAAGGCCCACCGACGACGCCCTTGAGGCCGACGGCGGCGAGCTCGACGGTTATGTCCAACAATGCATTGGATGAGGACGAATTTTGGAGGGATGCTTAGGCAACTCTTGGGAAAACTCATCCACAACTTTAAAAAGAAGCTTTTGGCCGAAAATAAGAGGGTGTTAAGATGAAGTTAAGTGTTGGGAAAGTGTAGAGAGTCTAATTTGTGAGGAATTTTTCGAGAGATTGTAAGAGTGGAGGGAAAGTGAAAGATTTCTTCCTCCTTGCCGCTTCGAATCGAAGAGGAATTCTATGTGCTGTAAAGAAAGGAAAAGATTCAGAGGAACTTCAAGGAGTTTGCTTGGGGAAAAATTAGAGAAAAATGTTATTTAATTGTTGTAGTTTGTATGACTTTGCTTTTATATATGAATTCCGAGTTTTGTTGTGTCTTCCCCATAAGATCTGAGTAGTTTTCTCTGTCTTTGTCCTTGTCTTGAGATTTGTGAAATGGTGATTTGAATTGGTGGAGCAATGAAAATATTAAAGAAGTTGTGATGATCTTTTTACTTCGATCTTAATTTACTTTCAATCTGGCCAATTGATTTGTTAAAATATGTTGAGTTTTACAACTAAA